GTAAGTACCCCTGTCTCGCCATTCTCTGATCCATCCGCAAGGTAGCGCGCGACGTTCAGGCGCCGTTCATAGGAGCCCGCCTAAACCTTGCGAAAAGAGATGGATGGCCTGTTCGACGGCCGCCCCGCTAGAATACTTCCCGGGCACTGTACTTGTCACAAGGTAGCTAAAGAGCACACATAGAAAGTACGAGTACATGTGCCCCAAAGTATCTCCGCAGCAAAAGAACCCCGGTCGAGCATTGTCAGGAGTACTGCATTACCGAAGCTGGGGGGCGAATCAAACCGCTGAAATCCCTGTTCCCTCCACTGGGAAGTGCTGCTGCAGTCCAGAGCGGTTAACGTCGCTGAAATGGGCGGCCCCTTTCAACGTGTGCAAACTAACATTGTGGCCCTTCTGATATCATAATGGTACCAGCTATGCTTTCTCGCTGGGCAGAAGTACTGAGTACATGCGAGTCGGTGGGCTACACAAAGAGACCTTCCCCTGGCTCCCGGTTTACTCTAATTGGGCAATATCAGAAAGCATGAGAAGCGTTCCGGATAACCAATGATGTTCCCCTTGCGTTGGTTTGTCCTTGGGGACTTGCTAGAGATCTCCTTCATTGGCGAATATCCACAACGCGCACTGAGCTTATACCAAGCACCACTGATGGTCAGAGCCAGCGCTACCACTACCAATTCTCATCTTTCTGGCTAACTCGCACCAGTAGAAATGCAACAGTAGCGCAGGTGCTCGCGAGATGGATTGTCGTTCTTGTACAGTCTGGGAGATCTGCACCGCATGCAGGTGCATTGGTTTGGGGGGCGGTTGCAGGCCAGAATCCGGGGTAAGCTGATCAGGGCTGAAGTTTACGATCGTCCTTGAACTCTTGCCCACTCACGCAAGCACGCAGTGTACTCGACGGGGTGCTCGTGCTTGGTTTGCTCGCCCCAGCCTTGCTCATCAAAAGCTTACTAGTAGTACTTTGTAGCTACCATTCTATGACGCACGTGTGTAAGCGCAAGCTCCTTCGTGCTCTCCTTTACCGTATTGCATCAGAGCATGCAAGCGATCAAGCGATCGGGTGCTGGGTTGAACACCGCTCATCTCGCCGCTAGACCTGCTGCGTACGTGCTCCATACCGTCATTCTTCACTTTTCGTACTCCCTCACTCGGGTCTCGGTTGCTCCTCTCCTTACCTTCAAACGATGGGACGCCTCCCTGAGCATATGGCTCTGTTGCCTACATGCCGAACTCGTACCATTCGTCGCACATGACCTACGTACCCCGCACAAAGCTTGTGCTGAGTGGTCGAGGCTCGTGTTCCACCCCAGCCAAAAAATTAAAAACTGCGGGGAGCTCACATCAGCGGGATCTTCGTTTCTCATCGCATATAGGTCAGGTCACCTGTTCGAGATAAAACTAAGGGGCCCATGGCTCTACTGTGGAAAGAAAGTGATATGATTTTACCGTAAGGAGGAGCTTTGCTGTTCACGTGGCTCCTGTGCTTCTGTCTACTTACAGTTTACGATAGAGGCGCAGACGAAGACCTGAAAGATGTCTTTGAGCTCGTGTTCGTCTGCTAGCATATTGATGTTCATTTTTCATGTTAGTGAACTCATCTGACAGTATGAAGTGCTCTGTGCTAGCTGAAACCAGTGATTAAAACTTATCCTGTTCTGTTGCACACCATATCACGCAAAAAAAAAATAAAAAAAAAAATAAATAAATTAGATACTCACTCCGTAAATATCGAAAAAAGGTATAATGGTTGTACCGCGAATCGAACGCGGGTTATGACGGATTTGGAGAGTAACCACAACGTCATGTCCTAACCACTAGACCATACAACCTTGACTCTTTATTTTGCTCAATAAAGCGCTCTATGAGCCTAAAGCGAGCTGACACTACTGTTGCCCGTAGGAACTTTAAAGGCAACACCATGTTGATCAAACATAGCCGGCATCTTCTTGATTTCACGGTATTCGGTAGCGTTTGAAAATGGTGCCTGTCTCAGACGCGATGCTGCATAGCCATCTCGCATTTCTCATTTGACTATTGCGATGCGAGAGTCAGTCAAAAAACGTGACAATTTACAATGAAACTCAATGCGCAAACCAGTACGGAGTAGAGCGCACGGGTTCGCGTTTCGTCCCTTCTTTGTCGCGCTCGCTCTTGAATGAAGATGCTTCACGGTGTTGGTGACGGATTTGCAAGCAGGCTGTCTCCCCTGCGTGTGTGCGGAAAGCTGCGCCGCAGTATGCAAGTGAGTGAGCGCCTCTATGCGTGACTCCAACGCAGCCCACGCATGAACCGACGGGAGGGATGGGTTATATTGACGACGCCTACTCCGTACGGGTTTCGGCAAGCTTCGATGCGAGTATGAATGGCG